TTTCTAGTACATTTTTCTTCTAGCTTTAATAATGATAAGAAAAGCTTATACCAATATTTAGCTTAATCATATGCAATAAATATCAACTATTTTTCTTTAGATTATAACTAATAGTAAATGTAATTTATAACGATATATTATTTGGAATATTAAGGCCTGACGAAATTCTAAGAATCAAAAGTATTTAGTCAAAAATTGTTAACTTATAAATAGTTATCAATAATTTAATACTATTTGACGTTGTCTTTTAAGCATCGCCAAGGTTCATAGGTTCGAGTCCTCGTCTTTTTGTTGTTTTTTTGTTGTTTTTTGTTTTTGTTTTTGTTTTCTTTTGTTTTCTTTTGTTTTCTTTTGTTTTTTTTGTTTTTTTGTTTTTTTGCAGCATTGGCCGTATTCACATAACTCGTTTCCGAAAATTGAATTTTAAGTTAAATATTAATAGATAAAGAACAATCAATGACTAATATCAATAATATAACTGAGAAAAGTTACAATAATAAACTAAGTTCTAACAAAAAATCAAAAATAAAGTAATATAATTTGCTGATACAGCAAAACTTATCTCCTATTATTATAATATGACATTTTGATACATTATATGTATCTTTTAAAAACTAGACCTTGACATGTTAAAAAACGTTATTTGCATTTCCAAAGCGAATGCATTAAGTCTCTCAATCCGGCAGATAATGTCTCTGACAATCTGGTTGGGTGTCATTAGCTGGGCAGCGGACTTGATAGGCGTGCGCATGCCTGATGCTGTCGTTGTTGCGGTTGTCCTGCCACTTTGGTGTTGCAGTCTTTGGACCTTAAATTAGAAGAAAACCAGGATTTTATCTTGCTAGTTATTTAATTTACTACGAATAGATTTAAGTACCTGTTTTGTCTTGGTGCCATGTTTTCCCATAACAGACCACTACATTCCCAATAATAACTTTTTTTTCACATAATACATGAGAATACTATGTACTTATTGACTAAGTGGGAGAACCGTGCGGGAAAATATTTGCATGGCTCGAGGTGAAGCCGTACGGACCGAGCGCAGCGCGGAGGTCCGTACAAATGACAGAGAGCCAAATATTTTCCCGTACGGCCCGACCTAACTCAGTCAATAAGCATTTTATCATATGACTCTAAATTTAAAAAATATTTCAAAAGTTGCAAATTATGTCAATATGGTCGCAGGATTCGAGCAGGGCCGTACAGATTCGTACGGCCCTGCTCGCTCAAAGCCGTACGGCCCTGCTCACGCCATTTTCCCGGGTTTTTTTCTAATAGCGCGCGCCCGGGAAGATACGGGTCATATGATAAACATGAATATGGATATAGTTCAAACAAAAAATCTTTTTCTCTAGAAAGTAACACGTGGTCTGAAATGGGCTAACATTGGGTAAACCTTCGTTTAACCCGCATAAATTTATCCTCAAGCACTTGAATACGAGGTTAGGCGAGGTTAGGTTTTCTTCTTTCAACCAACATCCAACACGCTAAATTTGAGTTAACTTTTCTCGTCTTAGAATCGGTTGTTTCAGGGCTGAATAAAATAGCTGAGCTTAGTACTTACCTTATTAAGAACCGCATCCAATAGGTTGGTCATTGCCATAGAATCCTTAAGAACCGTCTTAATAAGAGGAAGCGTGCCACTGACCTTGGCGGAATTCGATTTCAGGGTGGTGATTAACGCATTCAGTAAGTCCTTGTTTAACTTGAGTGACTGAGACGTCTGTGGCGGAACAAATCATGACATTAGCTAACTGAAATCTCTAAAGGAAGGTCAAATACCATCATTTAAATCAGCCTAAACATTTATCATAAGGATCAATGTGGGACCCTGAGAGAGAACTTTCTCCACAATCTATTTGTGTTGAGCCGTATACTCTTTGCACCGTTTTGATTTTTTTTTTTTTTTTTTTTAATGTTAAAAAGCCAGTAGAAAATTTTAGTTTACCTAAAACCTAATCCAGATATTTTTTATATAACACGAGCAAATGATCAAAGTTTCGACTAAACACCTCTCCATCGCCGGCGCAGGCGAGGCACAAAATTTAAAGTTGCGCAAATCCTTATCGGAAAAAAAGGAATTCCTGGTCCAATCTATCGGATATGAGGAGGTGGTAAAACAAGCTGAAATACCAAGCCAAGCCCTTTGAGTTTTCTCTTATTTGTTAGTGATTTAGATATTCAAAAATTAGAAGGAAAAACCACTCGAGATTACATGCACGTCATGTGAGTTAGATCGGTCCAAAGTGTGTTTCAGGATTCCATCACATTTAGAAAGGTAATTCAAACATTCAAATTTTATCGAAAACTGGGCTGATCAAAGTCAAGGAATAGCCGACTCACAGATCAAACACTGAAACAACCTCTGGGCAAATCAAATTTAGGGCACGACTAACCATGGCGCAGAATGCCCGGACATATTGCCTTTGCCGCCTCATTTGCATACGCTCGTAATCACTGAAGCGCGCGGGAAGTTTGAAAATTTTGACTCGATTTACAAAAGAATGAGTCAATTTTGCGACAGACACGTTAATACAAGACAACTTTTCTTGGACTTGCGTTTACAAAATACCGGGCTTGCGACTTGAAAACTAAAGTTGAAATATCAAAGTAATACTTCACAGTTAAAAAACAGAAATTAGAAGGACATAAATAGTATCCATTTGCCTTCGAAAACCGGTAATTTTTAAGAAATTTTATATGTAGGCAACTTTTGAACTAAAATTTACTTGTCTCATATGAAGAAATGTTGACGCTTGCGACCTGAATATTAAAGAATCTCTTGTATATTCAGCAACAAGCCCAAAATCATTATTAAACTATTTTGTTTAATAGTATCCATTTTCATCTAAAGATTTTAATGAGGATTTTGGTGAACATGGTTCATTATTATTCATAGAAAAGAGAACTAAGCTCCGTCTCCTCACTGCCTCAAGTGATCCATATGTACATTTTCGCTAAAGAACCAGCAGAATCATGAGTGATGTTTTTGATTCATTTGTTTATAGTTTCTTGACATCGAATGAACTATAAGATGCCGTATTCGAGTATGAGTCTAATCTTATAGATTACTAGATAGTATGAATCACTAGAATCATGAGTGTTGTTTGGACTGTTTATAGTTTCTTGGCAACGAATAAACTATGCGATGCCGTATTCGAGTATGAGTTTACTCTTAGTAGATCTATGAATCACTAGAATCATGAGTGCTGTTTGGATTCATTTGTTTATAGTTTCTTGGCAACGAATAAACTATAAGATGCCGTATTCCAGTATGAGTTTACTCTTACTAGATCTGTGAATCACTAGAGATCATGAGTGCTGTTTGGATTCATTTGTTTATAGTTTCTTGACAACGAGTAAACTATACGATGCCGTATTGGAGTAGAGATTTCCGATTTAGCGGATTAGCGACAGTATATTCCACGCTCATTAATCCACCCGGAATATAGCCTGAGTATCAGGCCTTCCGAGGGGGAGGGGGAGAGAAGGGAAGGAAGCCGGCTCTCTCTTTCCCCTCTCCCGGAGAGCCTGATACTCATGCTACCCAGAATATAGGTTAACTCAGTAAATTTTTTGTTTTCTATTGCTTAACGAGCACTATTTTTTTACTTCATATTCTGAACTGGTACTGTTTTATATGACCTTTTTGAACTAAAATAYGGTTTGTTGATATGAGTACACAATCAGTCTATACTCAACAAACAAATAAACAAATTATTTTTGCTGACGAACATGTATTATATCGACTAAAATTGTTAATGCAATCTGCATACGCCATCCTTACAACACGGCTACCACTGAGGATTTTAAGACATTATTTAAAACCCTACAACAATCGCATACGACAGTGGTAGCCATGTTGTAAGGATGGCGTAAGCAGATTGCATGCGACACTCGTAAGCAAACGTTGTACTGTGTAAATCGGCCTTCATACTTCAGTGTTCTCAAATCTACAATGAAAAATCCAAGTTACACTTGTAAGCAAAGTCTTTGGAAAGAAAGAGGTTGACGAAACGTTATCAAAGTTTCTCGAATATTCCACAAATTGTATCGTTAGGGGGAAATCAGTCTATGTAAAGAAACGAGTTGATATTCCCTTTCCTACAGTCCTCTAAGAATTAGTCTCCTTCGATTTGCAAGAAATCCACAGGTTGCTACTACGATGGATTGGAACGGTCTCATGTGACGAATGATGTCTGAGGAAGCCGAATATACTTTAAGAGAACCAATAGTGTGCTCCACTCGGATACRAAGTGATCTCAGGGCCCTGTTAGCATCTCGCTGTCTTCTGTTGTGGGCAATACGTCTTGGTGTAATGAGAGGAGTGCGGTTAGCATATCCCCCATCAGCAAGCAGCCTTGCTCGTTGTGGAAGATTTCTTATTCTCCTGTGTCCTATAGCAGGAAGTCGTCTGAATGTTTCTGCATC